CACGCGCACGCGCACGCGCACGCGCACGCGAACGCGCACGCGCACGCGCACGCGCACGCGCACGCGCACGCGCACGCGCACGCACACGCGCACGCGCACGCGCACGCACACGCACACGCACACGCACACGCACGCACACGCACACGCACACGCACACGCACACGCACACGCACACGCACACGCACACGCACACGCACACGCACACGCACACGCACACGCACACGCACGCACACGCACACGCACACGCACACACACGCACGCACACACGCACACACGCACACACGCACACACGCACACACGCACACACGCACACACGCACACGCACGCACGCACACACGCACGCACGCACGAACGGAGGCACGCATGCCGCATGCACGCACACACACACACTTTTGCGTCGGCGGCTGGGCAGAGGTAGCTGCTCCGGCGATCGGGCATCAGTGGGGCGCGCTAAATGCGAATTGTGCCGCGACGCGCGTGACCCCGGCGCGACGGGAAGAGGGGGAGCGGGGCCCGCTCAGGCAAGTCAGTGGCTGCGGCGAAGGGAGCGCAAAAGGGGGGAACCAGCCGCGGCGCCGAGCAGCAGCCGGGGGGGGCGGCAGCCCAGCGGCGGCCGGGCAAAGCCAGATGGGGGAGCAGACGCACATGGCAGGTATCGAGACCAGACCACTCGCGAAAACCAGCCTTGGCGTCTGTGGAGGCTGAAATCGGACCGGCGGCAAACGGCAGCAAAGAAAATGGCGTGTCACATGAGGATGCAGTCGCCGCACCACAGGGGGAACCGGCGACCAGGCGAACCCAGCGGTGAGGCGACGCGCCGAGATTTGGTGACTTTCGAGGCGCGGCGGGAGGCGAAAGGGGCGGAACGCTGGCAGGCGCGAGCGCGCTGCACTGAGCGCGACAACCGCAGGCCGGCGTGAAGGACGAAGGACGAAGAGGCAGAGCCACGCTATCAAGGGGGCGGCGTGGTGCTGGGAACACCAGTGAGTGGCCGGGCGCTGAAATCATATTTGATGATGACTCTTGAGGCGCGGGGAGGGGGAGGGCAATGCATTCACGCACGCACGCACAAACACACACAGACACAAACACAGACACAGACACAGACACACACACACACACACACACAGACACACACACACACAGACACACACACACAGACACACACACACACACACACACACACACCAGCGCGCCGCGAGCCGGCGGTACCAAGAAGGGGCCCTGAGGGACGGGGCGAGGGGCTTCCAGCAGTGTAAATCCTGGGGTCCCTTCCTACAGCAGCAGTTGGGTGCGTTAGGTTGGTTCCGTCGGTGATCGTGCCGTTGCCGCATCGCTGCGCCCTTCTGGATTGATTTCGGCCTGCCAGTGTCTGTCGGTTTAGGTTTCGCTGTCGGCTCGCTCTGTTTTCGGTTTTACCGTCGCCTTGCACGGCCTCGTTACATTTCAGGGAGCTGAAGAAGCAAGGAGCGGCTCGGGTTTGCAAAAGGTTTTGTTCCCCAGGTCCTTGCATGGTTGTTCCTCTAGCGCTCTTCGTGCACCCGGACGCTTGTGGGGCCAGAAAAGGGGCCTTGTTCCTTGTCGAACGTCCGTCATGGCAGCAACTTGGCTGTATCCTGAGGGCCCCCATCGTTCAGGGCCCCATCCGTGAGCGCCCTGGACGTCGTTCCCGTGGCCGTCGCTGCCCGTCGTCCCTCCCCCCCGTGGCAGGAGGAGTTCCTGAGGCAGAAGGAGGAGAGACAGCGGCAGGCGCGGGCCCCTTGGCGCCCCGAGTGGCGGCGTCGCAGGCAAAAAGTAGCAGGAGTCGGCGGGCGTTCTCGCCCCGATCATCGGAGGAGGAGAGGTGCCCGTCCGTCGTTGAAACTCGGTACTTCTAGAACCCCGGATCCCAATCTACTTTAGACGCTTTCCTACTTCAGTGATTGTGTGGTGTCCCGTCCCCTTTCCTCTTCAGGGGGCGAGCGGGAGCCCAATCTATGTTCACCGACTTCCTACTTCATGTTTTTGCCCACCTCTTCTAACCGACGGGTGCTGAGATCGCCACGCTTTCCTTGTCGCCGCGGCTGGATTCGCCTCTAACTCATGGTCAGAACGCGCCCCAGGAGGAGCGCTATCAGCATCCTGGTGTTCCCCCACGCCTCGCGGCCGGGGGCCCTCGAGGACCGGTCCAGCTCAAGCACCAAAAGAACCGCAGGGCGACGGTGCCGATAGCCCCAGCATCGCGAGCAGCCAAAAAGCGAAAACCAGCGACCGAGGCGGGGGTGTGTCAATCACCATTGCCGGAAAGTCGATATCCAGGGACCTTGGCAGGGGCGGACATGTTGGGACCCCCAGTGGGGGCCCAAACACATCCATATCCACCGCCCTCTGGGGTCCCAGGGGCAGGAGGAGGAGGAGGAGGAGGAAGAGGAGGAGGAGGAGGAGGAGGAGGAGGATCAGGAAGAGGAGGAGGATCAGGAGGAGGAGGAGGAGGAGACCGTAGCCATCTTGGCTCAAGCTCTTGCCCGAGGCCTGCCGAAGAATCGGTAGTACTCGGGTGGGGCTCAAGGAATCGCCAGGAGAGTGCCGGCCCATTGTTTCACCACCACACTTTTTCGGCTCCGTTTAACACACATCAGGTGCTTTTAATCCAATGTTTCCCCAGCCGTGATGGTTTTGATGCAGGGCGAGATAGGAAGAGCCTTAAAGTTGAGCATAGCAATGTGGATGATCTTCGTTTGAGTGTGGTTGTAAGATAGTGCATGCGTGACGTGTGTATAGGCACCACTCGCCGCCACGCGCCGCCGTTTGATCTCTAGGGGCCCCTTTTCGCCATTGCGCTAAAACGCATTATCGTCACACTGGTAGCTGAGCTACCACACGATCCCCGTATCGTACCACTGCGCGCACGTCTCGTCAGAGAGTGTAGCACAACCTTTATTTACTTTCCGTACTGGCAGTTTCCCTCGCTAGGAGACTGAGCCTTGCGCCATGGCACTTTCTTCTCTTCGCTATCGGCCGAGCGCCGACGCGTTGACGCGGTCCGAGACGAAGAGTGGCTCCTACATCTACGACGGCACGGTGAACAACTTTCACGAGTGGGAATTCCGCACAGAGATGCGCATGGGCGCCGCCTTGGCCTCAGTGGATCCAGAGACGGGTGCACCACAGCAACACGTGGTCACCGCAGCTGTCAACAAGGTTGTAGAAGGCCTCAGAGGTGACGCATTCGATATTGCCATGGATATCGGTAAGGACGTGCTTCTGACTCCGAATGGGATCGATCAGCTGGTACTGGCGATTCGTACTTCACTCTTCCCAATACAGGCACAGGAAGCGAAGATCCTGTTTCAGGCGGGGCAGAGATCATAGGGACCACTGTCACGACAGCACGGTGAGTCTATGGTCTCGTACATCTCCAGAAGGAAGCGTTGGTGGCAACTTGCCTCCAAGTTAGATCCTGTAATCTTTATGAGTGACGATATGATATGTTTGGACCCCTTCCTCTTGGACCATGCAGGCCCTCGCCTTCGGAGAACCTGACGGTGTTGACACCCGCACGATATGTGACAACCTTCGACAATATCAAGGATGTCTTGATCCTCCAGCACGGCCGTGTGCACATCCGCCGGAAAAGGCAAGGGTGAGTCTGGTAAAGGCTCCAGCTCTTCGGCGTGGACGCAACCCAGACCCAGCTACCAGAACAGGAGCAAGGGCAAGGGCAAAGTGCACTCCTCCAGGCCACGACACGCCTTCTACAGTGCTGATGAAGGATGGTACGAGCAGGAGGAGCATCGCCCTGAGGAGCTGGGCCCCTACGGATATTACGCGTCCGGCTACGCGCCATGCCACGATGCAGGGTTCCCCAGAAGCCAGCGGCGCAGGTGTCCAGACGGCGGCGTTCGCGGCCATTGCCCAAGTGGGCGCGAGCATCAAGAAAGGCACCCCGCCCAAGTTGCACCAGGACCGCCTGTTGCAGTTGGCCCTAAATGGGCTAGAAGACCTCTGAGCAAAGTGATCCCTAGAGGTGCCACCCTGAGAACAGGCCAGATCTCCTCCACTCCTTCTCCTCCCCCGCCTCTGGGCTCGTCGTTGGAGTCCTCGTCCCGTCGTCTCCGCTTGATCCCATTTTCCTCGACGGATGATGCGACTTACCGAATAATCCAGGGCCCCAACGTGGATCCAGAAACGCAAGCCCTTCGAACCGCCGCCTGGGAACCCCTTCATAAGTTGTAGTGTTTTTCACGTTGATTCGCTCTCCTGTTGAATCCTGAGTTTGTCCTTTGCCTGCTGCAAAGAACCAGTGGCCACTCGATTTTGTGGAGGGCCGCGCGGTCTGGCCCCAGGGATCTCTCTGAGCTGGGTTTGCCGAAAGCGCACCTGGGCCCCCCCACCGTGCGATTGCACCGCTAATAGTCGCGCGCATAAAGCCGCCGAGCTGGCGTGATTTCTCCCGACCCCACGACGGACACGTGGACCTGCAGAGCTCCGCCGCCGCCGCCCCCTTCGGACGCGTCACCGCTTTCTCGCCCTTCTCCCCAGCCTCTCCCCCCCAGCCCCCCCGGGAGTATCGCAAGGAGGCCCCGGAGCCCGCTCCCCACTTTTTCTCCCTTCCACCCACTTCAAGTTCGGATGCAACTCCTGGGGGTCGGATTCTGATTTTGCCCTGGTCCGAAGTCAGGCTTAATCCGTTTGTTTGTATCGTTTCGCTCATTCCGCCGGCCCATCATGTCGCACCGTGGTCGCCTGTCCGAGTGGTCGTTTGCAGTATGGAGCTGCGTCGTCGGGTTTTTTTGGCGGCCTTGGCGCCATCGTGGGGGCGTGTTACCCGTGGTATCCCGCTGTGGGGCCGTTCGAGCCGGGGGAAGAGACATCTTATGCGATAGGGGAACCCTCGTGTCGGAGGGTGGCGGGCTTTGAATGCCAACGTTGGCTCTGCTATCGTCCTGATGTCCTCTGGCGTTGCGGACACGGGCGTGAAGGAACACTTTCTCGTGGCGTTTCTCTTACCATCTCTTTTCTAACTTGACCTTCCTCCCTACTTTTTCTTTCTTCCCTTCGGTGGGTTAGAGAGAAGGGGGGCGGTAGCAGCGGAGGGGGCCGGTAGCCGCCCGCCGGCGTCGTCGTCGTCGTGGAGGGTCGAGGCTCGAGGCTGGAGGCCGAACGCGGGGGAGGAGGACCACCCCGACCCGCGTTTCCCAAGTCGCGTCTGGCTGGAGTCTTGGAGGCGTCCTGGGGGCCTCCTGAGGGTTTTTGGGGGGCCTCCAGAGGGCCTTTTGGAGGCCTCTTGAGGCCTCTTGAGGGCCTCTTGGGGGCCTCTTGGGGCCTTTGGGGGCGTCTTGGGGCCTCCCGTGGGCCTCTGAGGGCAACAAAGCTCGAAATTCTGTTTCGTGAGCCCCCTCTTGGGGCGTTCTTGAAGCGTTCTTGGGGCCCTCTTGGGCCGTCTTGGAGGCCTCTTGGGCCGTCTTGGAGCCGTCTTGGGCCATCTTGGAGCCCTCTTGGGGGCCTCTTGGGCCCTCTTGGGGCGATCTTGGAGGCCTCTGAAGCCGTTTAGGGGCGTCGGGGAACCGAAAAAGTTGAAATGCCCAAATCTGTCCAAAACTCATGGAAAAAGCATTGTTTGTTTGCCTCTCGGGGCCCTCTTGGGAATGCACTTGGAGACCTCCTGAAGATCTTGGAGGCTTCTTGGGTCATCTTGGAGACGTCTTGGGCAGTCTGGAGGCCATCTTGGGCGTCGTGAAGCGATCTTCGGGCGTCTCGGACATCTATTGGACCGTGTTGGGGGCGTTCTTGGGGCCCTCTTGGGCCGTCCTGGAGGCCTCTGGGGCCGTCTTGGAGCCGTCTTGGGCCGTCTTGGGGCCTGGGCCCTATTGGGGCGATCTTGGAGGCTTCTTGAGCCGTTTAGGGGCGTCGGGGAACCGAAAAGGTTGAAACGCCCAAACCAGTCCAAAACCAAAGGAACAGCACAGTTTGTTGCCTCTTGGGATTTCTCTTGGAGGCCTCTTGGGGCATCTTGGAGGTTCTTGGACCATCTTGGAGACATCTTGGGCCGTCCGGAGGCCATCTTGGTCGTCGTGGAGCGATCTTCGGGCGTCTCGGACATCTCTTGGACCGTGTTGGGGGCGTTCTTGGGGCACTCTTGGGCCGTTTGGAAGCCTCTGGGGCCGTCTTGGAGCCGTCTTGGAGCCGTCTTGGGCCGTCTTGGAGCCCTTTTGAGGGCCTCTTGGGCCCTCTTGGGGCGATCGTGGGGGCCTCTTGAGCCGTTTAGGGGCGTCGGGGAACCGAAAAGGTTGAAACGTCCAAATCTGTCCAACACCTAAGAAAAGCATTGATTTTTGCCTCTTTGGGCCCTCTTGGGAGTGCTCCTGGAGGCCTCTTGGGGCATCTTGGAGGCTTGTTGGGTCATCTTGGAGACCTCTTGGGCCGTCTGGAGGCCATCTTGGGCGTCGTGGAGCGATATTCGGGCGTCTCGGACCTCTCTTGGACCGTGTTGGGGGCGTTCTTGGGGCACTCTTGGGCCGTTTGGAAGCCTCTGGGGCCGTCTAGGAGCCGTCTTGGAGCCGTCTTGGGCCGTCTTGGAGCCCTTTTGAGGGCCTCTTGGGCCCTCTTGGGGCGATCTTGGGGGCCTCTTGAGCCGTTTAGGGGCGTCGGGGAACCGAAAAGGTTGAAACGCCCAAATTTGTCCAACACCTAAGAAAAAGCATTGATTTTTGCCTCTTTGGGCCCTCTTGGGAGTGCTCCTGGAGGCCTCTTGGGGCATCTTGGAGGCTTGTTGGGTCATCTTGGAGACCTCTTGGGCCGTCTGGAGGCCATCTTGAGCGCCGTGGAGCGATCTTCGGGCGTCTCGGACCTCTTTTGGATTGTGGGCCGCCCCGCGCGCGCGAACCAGAAATATTGTTTACTGTTTACCAGTTACCGGAGGTCTTAGCACGCCTCTGGCCCGTTGGGCCGGCGAATTCCTGCTTAATCCGGCGTAATCCCGATTAATCCCGCTTAATCCGGCTTGATCCCGCTTAACCCGAGCCCCATTCCGGCGCAACAGCCCCCCAATGGGGCTTAATGCTTAATACCCCCTAGTCCTTCCGGCAAAGACCTCCCAGCAGTTGCCTCCTAATTATCCCCTTTTCCGCCCATTCCCAGCTCCCGTGTCCTACTCATCATCCCCTCCGTCCTCATTGCTGTGGAGCTTGACGCTGCCACCGCACGCAGGCGTGGTGGGGTGGGGGGGTCCTGCTGTCGCGGTGGTCCCCGCGCAAGTGCGCAGGACAGCGTGGTATTCGGTGGGTGGGGGTGCCCGCCTGCCATGTTTCTCGCGTCGCTCTTGCCGGCCGAGGGGGTTACGGCTGTCAGATTTGGAGCGGCGGGTTCCCGCCCCGCCTCGCGCACGAGCGATGTTGTCGAGTTCTTTCTTCGATCAAATTTCACGGCGCAGGTGCCTTACAGTGTCCTCCTTTGTCGTGTCTCCCCGTTTCCTCGGGATGAACTCTGGTGACCTGGTGGGCGGGGGAGGGAAAGAGGTCGCCGCGGCTGACGTACTGGCTTCCCCTGAGGGCTGCGTGCCCATAGGGTCGCCAGTCGGCCAGTACAGTTCTCGTTGTGAAAACCCTTGGAGGGCTTGTGGTCTCGAAAGGAGCGGGTCAGTCTAGACGGGGACTCCATCCATGATGATCTGCTCTGCTCTGCTCCACCTTGCCTTCCCCCTCTACCCCATCGCCTCCCCCTCCTCCTTCGCCTCTCCCCGTTCCATTCCCCCTCCTCCTCTGCCTCCTCCCTCCCCCCTCCTCCCCCCCGCCCCCGCCCCTGCGGAGAGGCCGCTGCGGAGGCCCGCCGCCAGAAGGAGCTGCACCTCCGCCAGCTGGAGGAGATGGAGAGGAGCCCCGCCGCCTCCACCCACCCCAGAACTCGTTTCGACTCCTCTGGCTCCATTCCGTTTTTATGATGGGCTTCGATTCCGATCCGATCTGACCTCGGACTCCGGTCAGGCCTCCGAGTTCGCAACGGAGGCCTTGCTAGCCTACCGGTTTCCGCCGATTCGACTCCTCGCAATTAGGCTGCTGAGTTCCACCGATCAGACTCGTTTCGATCGCCGATCCGACTTTTTTGAATCGATTCTGGGCTCCCCCCCCCCTGGTGCTCGGTGCCGAGGAGTCAGGGGCACGTCAGGGGTCGGCACGGACGAAATGGGTATGGAAAGAATGGTCACGAGGACCGACAGCAGTTCCTGCGCTTGTTGGGCAAGACTCGCTGTCGGTGTCGCCGCGGGCGTTGCACATTTGCGGCAGAAGGCCGCATTGCCAACAGCGGCCTCTGTCGAGTTCGGACATCATTTGGTGTTGCGCATCGTACCTACTTTTTCATACCCATTTCGGGCGTGCGAAATGGAGGAGAAGCTAGGGGGAAGCGCATCGACCCTCAATCGCCCATTGATCGCCGATAGTGGCCCGATAGCCCACCCCGCCCAGGACCTTGCGGTTTCGCCCCCGGGGGCAAGTCGCCGATCTATCGGCGATGTATCGCCGTTTCCAGCTCGACATTTTCTCCCCTGAGCCAGTCCCCCTTCTCGTTCCCCCTTTGAGGACGGCGACGCCAGGCCGCCCAATTCGGAAAAAGGATAGGTGACACCACCACCACCACCACCACCGGAGGGGGTACCCCAAGCGAAGGGAGGCCATTTCTTTATTGCTTGGGGCATGAAGGGCGTCATGGCCCCCGCTCCCCCCCCCATGACGTAACGCTCCCCTCCCCCAGTGCGCTCCGGGCACTGCAGCCGTGCGCATTGGGATCCGCGTAGGTGTCCGCGTAGGAATCCGCATAGGTGTCTGGTCCGCGGGCGTCGTCGTCGTCGTCGTCGTCGTCGTCGTCGTCGTCGTTCGTCGTCGTCGCTCGTGGTTCGTTGCTCGTCGCTCGTCGTCGTCGTGCGCGCGAACGCGGCTGGAGCCTGTTTTTAAGTCCGGGCCGATGACAGCAATCATCTGGGGGGGAGGGGGTCGATGACGTCACGTTTCGCGTCGGCGGCGTTTGGAAATGGTTAGGGATGACGGACGACGGGTAGCACGAACATGTAGGTGGCGATATACAACACAACGCCTGTGTACATCACAGTGCCCGCGTGCACCACAGCGCCTGTGTACACCACACCGCCGATGTACACCACAGCAGCCGCGTGCAACACAGCGTCAGTTTGTGCCACCGTGCCTGCGGGCACAGCAGCTCCTGTGTACACCACAACGCCTCCGTACACCACATCAGCCGTGCGCAACACAGCACCAGTGTACACCACAATGCCTGCGTGCATTGCAGTGCCTGTGTACGCCACGGCGCCTGTGTGCACCACATCAGCCGTGTGCAACACAGCACCATTGTTGTGTATAGAATTTCAGAAGGAATCCTTGTGACAAAATGGAGCGCGTGTGGATTCCAGAGAAAACAATGGAAATAAAATCCCCATGGACAAAGGAGCGCCGCTGGAATCTACGAGTCTCACCGAGTCCGCCCGCATCACCCTAACTCTCACTTGCGTCCAGGAGGCTCCAGCGAAACTGGCCGTCCGAGGGCCAAGTGGACCGATTCAATCGACCATTCTGCGGTGCACGCTGAGATGCGCACGCGCGTTGTAACGCCAAACCGCACGACAGGGGGTAAGAAGAAGGAAAAGGAGGACGCGGAGGAGGAGGTGGAGGAGGAGGGGGAAGGAGGGAAAAACGTCGCATTCGATTATCAGAACTTTCCTGGCGTGGCGTTTAGTTGTCCGCATCAGATCCTGACGTACATGCTCCTTCTACCTGTCCTATGCACGCAGGCGCTGTGGTGTACACCAGCGCTGCGTTGCACGCAGATGCTGTGGTGTTGACAGGCGTTGTGGCGTGCACAGGCGCTGCGGTGCACGCAAGCACTGTGGTGTACACGGCGTTGTGTTACACATGGCAACTGCGGTGTATGTACACCGGCGCTGTAGTGCTCCCAAGTATTGTGGTATACACGGGCGGTGCGTTGCACACGGCTGTTGCGGTGTACGCAGGCGCTGTGGTGCACACGCGCGGTGTGGTGCACGCGATCGTTGTGGTGTACACAGGCGCAATGGGCAGATCGCCACTTACATGCTGGTCGTCGTCGTCGTCGTCGTCGCTCGTCGCTCGTCGCTCGTCGCGTCGTGCGCACGGGCGCGGCTGTGGTGCCGGAGCCACACGGCGTCACCCCCCCCCGTCATACCCCCGCCTCGCCCCCCCCCCCCCCCCATGACGCCCGTCATCACCGAACATAAAGAAAAGCCTTCAGGGGTGCACGATGCCTCCCGGAGCTGGGCATAGGGGATGTCTCGAGCTACCAAACCACCAGGAGGACCCTCCATGGCGACCTGGTGGTAGGGTTGTCGCCTTTCCTTGTCACATGGGGCCGAAGTAGATGGGGTCGTCGGAGACGTCCTCACAATTTGCCTTGTCGGGTTTGGTTTCGGCGCGGTGTCGCTTGAGACCTCCTCGCAATTGTTGTCGCTTCGCGAATCCCCACCAGCCCATCCAGAAACGATGCCCAGAGGAATTGCCTCGATCAGAGAAGTGGGCAGCACACAGAGGAAGCCATTATGAGACATCTTGGGATATCTTGAGCCATCTTGGAGGTCATTTTGGGCTCTCCCAGACGCTCTTGGAGTCATCTTAATCCGTGCCCCCCCCCAAGAGGCCTCCATGTGGCTAAAACCTGTGTAGAATCAATGATTAGGCATTCTCGCCGAGGCCTCTTGGAGCATCTTGGGTGCATCTGGGGGGGCTCTTGGGGCCTCTTGGGGGTCTCTTGGGGGCCTCCGGGGGGCCTCTTGGGGGCCTCTTGGGGCCATTTTGGGGCCATCTTGGGACCTCTTGGGGCTTCCTGGGCGCTTCTTGGGGCCATCTTGGAGGAGATCGATCAAACAAGAGGGGGGGTTTAATTAGCGCCCCCCCTCGGAAGCCCCTAAAATCGCCTCTTGGACCCCTCTTGGAACGCTCTTGGAGTGCTCTTGGGCGCTCTTGGGGCCGTCTTGGGGCTCTTTTGGGGCTCTCTTGGGGCCCTCTTGGGCCATCTTGGAACCATCTCCAGGCCTCGGATGGCCATCGGAAGCGAAAAGGCGAGAAAGCAAAAATCATTGATTTTCCTTAGGTTTTGGGACGATTTTGGCCTCTTCGGGGCCTCCTTGGGGAGCTGTTTGGCCACTTGGAGTTATCTTGGGGCCGTCTTTGGGCTTCTTGGAACCATCTTAGGAGCCATCTCGAGCGATCTTGCGCTATCTTGAGCCATCTTGGAGCTCATCTTGGGTTCTCTGAGGCGCTCTTGGAGCCGTCTTGGGCCATCTGGGACGCTCTAACTACCCGCGGCCCCCCCCGTCCAGGTCCAGGGGAGGGGGTAGGGGGAGGGGTAAACCCCTCCCCAAGGGGGAAGAGGGAGGGGTGGAAGAGGATCTGTTCTAGACCACCTACGCCCAGAGGGCTGGTGGGATTTGCCTATATGTGGCTTTGTTTTGGCGCGGTTTCGCTTCAGACGTCCACGATGTTCAATCGTTTGTTCCGGTTTGGGCGCACTTTCGCCTGAGACATCTTTGTGATACGCCTGGTGTGGCAACAGTTTCGCTTGAAACGTCTTCGCAGTTTATTCGACTCTTTTGAAGTAGGGCCACCACAAAGTGCTCCTAAGCGCGAGCCACAGCGGAGTCCGACCGCAGCGCCGAGGAGCCCGAAACCATGGCAAAAGCAAAAGACCCTGAACCGCGACCGCGAAAGGCACTGAGCACAGCGCCGCTCAGTAGAAAATTGGTCCAAGCTACGCGGTGTCAACTATGTGATGCAAGCTACGTGGCACCAGTTATGCGGTGTGAGCTATGTGGTGGAAGCGGTGCGGCGCAAAGTATGCGGTGTACGCTATGTGGTGGACGCGACGTGGCACAAACGATGCGGAGTAAGCTATGTGGTGCAAAGTGCGCGGTGGAAACTAAGTGGTGCAAACAATGTGGTGCAAACACGCATCGCATCGCCCTCGCTAACACGGGACTGGCTGCAAGCCAGCGTTGGCCCGTGGACCAGAGTTAGGAACATATTCTTCCGATGTTGCAGTGCATTCGGCACGATGTCGAACACAACCATGTGATGTGCGTTCCTGAGCGCTCCAGCTCTGTTGCGTGGTGCCTCGGCGTGGTGGGCAGCATCATGGGTGTTTGCTCGATCGCGCCCCTTTCCTTGGGCAACTGATCATACGGTTTTGCACGGTTGCAGCAGAGCCAGAAGGCCGCATCGGTCATGGGAGCGGGATCGGCTCCAGCTCGCTGGAGGGCGTGAAGAAGGCACGCGTAGGTTTATTTTCCCATGCTTTGTTTGTGTGTGTGCGCGTGTTGTGCCCAACTCGTGGTGTGTGCTCATGTGTGATCTATCCTGGTCTTGCACCCTCCTCCACCCTGGCCGTTCGCGGTCGTGACTGCTGTTCACCACGTGGCCCCCCAGACCTCTTGACCCCGTCCCCAGGGGATTTTCCGTTTTGCCGTGCACAGAGTGTAGGTCGGCGGCATCGTCGCATTGTCTCGCCAGTTCATTTGTCTGGAGCGTGTGAGCCGGTTGTGCTCTTTTCGGTTCCCTGCCGAAGCGCCGTTGCCTGGCGCCTGGCTTGACTGACTGAAGTGGGTTATTCTTGTCCACGGTCATGGGCCCCGTCGACATCCTCCCGAGGCCCAAACGGTTAGAACATATTGTCAGTGTGCGGTTCGCGTCGCGACATCTGAGTCACCATCGCCGGAACCATCCCACCATTGGTTGGGCTGGGTGCTGCGAAACTCGACGGGCCCTTCACACTCCAGTGGAGATGGGTGCCGTCTGACCCAACAGCCGGCCAACTCCTCCTGGAGGGGTTGGTCGGCCGGTGGGGGGAAAGGTTTCACGGGTGGGCTTGCGTTTCTCGTCCAGATTTCAGGGGCAATGTCAGGGAATGTACTCAGGGGGGGAGGCATCGACACCACTCGCCCAGCGGTGCCCGATGTCGAGCCTTATAGCCCGCCCCGTCCTGGAGCTTCCAGGTTCGCCAGCAGGGGGACAGCGCTCTTCAGTTTCAGCAGCCCGACTGTACCCCCGCGATGTATGCAATCCCCATCCCCATCCCCATCCCCTTCGAGACCCCCACCAAATGACCACCCCAGTTGGGGATAGACCCCTCGAAACCCGAAGGGAACGACTTATATCCCCATCTAGGGGGATAAATTGGCCAGAGGGGCCCAGGCCACGCCGCAGGGGATGGGGATCGATTAAACGATACTCATGGGCGGTGTATCTTCGATTCTGGGTCAATGACTCCCCCCTGAGGTGGCCTCCTCCCCCCTATCGGTCCCCTCTTCCCAGATTGTTTTTGTGGGCCTTGTTCCCCGCCCCCGAAGGAGGAAGCAGGCCGAGGCCGAGAAGCAGGACCGCAGCCCCCACCTCCTCCTCCATTCCCCCTCCTCCTCCTCTTCATCCCTCCTCTCCGTAACACTTTGGCTCAAGTTGAAGCCATCGCCCCGTGGATTCAGCTTTGTCGCAGCCAAGGGGCCTGCCGGAGCTGCTGCTGCTGCTGCGGACTGAGAGGCAGCCCAGGGCCTGTCTCAGGGGCTCACTGCCCGACCGCTGGCAGGCTCCGTGTCGTTTTGTTTGCGGAAACATTACCAGAATCACTCCAGCCATGCCGACTTCACGCGAGGAGAGTCCGCCTGGTGGCAGGTGGAAACGAGATCGCAAGGACACGTCCTATGACACAGCCGTGAGTGGCCGTTCCAGTAGCAGGGGAGGTGGTCGTCGATCCCAGTCTTCCTTTCGCTCCGCCTCGCGCGCGCGCCCTGACCCGCGGTCTCGCTTGAGTAGTAGCGAGGACGGGAAAGAACCCAAGCAGCCTGCCTGGGCCACGGCCCTGTTCAAACATATTGATAACCAGACGAGCGACATCAACGCCTTCGAGCGCTCCATGAGCGTCAGAGTGAGGTCTGTCCAAGAGGACCAGGAGCACATCAACTCCTTGAACCTCAAGATGGAGCAGTCCGCCCAGGCGCAGGCTGCAGAAATTACACATATTGTCGATTTCTCGCTGAAAGAGCCCCTGCAGGCCAAGTTCACCGAGGTGGCGAGCAAGCTTGCCGAGCTCGCTGCTGCCCAGACCACGGCCTCGACATCAGCCCCATCCGCGCGCTCGCCGCGCACACCTGCATCCACGGCATCAGGTTCTAGCCACAGCAGGGCGTGGGATGGCGAACGTCGTGGAGATCGGAGGAAGATTTGGGTTGATGGATTTCCGAAACCATTGCGCAACTGCACAAGAGAGTCCTCGACGCATGCGCTCTTAGTACCAGGTCTCACTTTCCACAGCAAGTGCACGGTGGAGTCGCCGTCCAGAGCTACAACAACTCGAAGAGTTTCGCCTTCGTCTTCAGCTCCGACGCCGAGGCCAAGTGGTTCCACGACGCCGTGAAGCAGACGGGGCTGGCATGGTTCGATCGAACAGAGCAGAAGCACATCCCTCTACGTGCCAGGTTTGGCGGTCACGCGGCGGTGCGCGCGAAGCGCAGAGTCTTTGGCCAGCTCTGGCAGATGCGCAAGGATCGTTGGCGCCAGTGCGAGGTATATGCTCAGACTTGGCAACTGGGGTGCAGCGGTTGTCGTGGATTCTTCTTCTTGGCTGTAGATGATGTGATTGACAACTTTTTTCCCTGAAGACCCACGACCGCGAGCAGCGGGCTGTCGAGCCATAGCATGCCACCCTGCAGCGCTATGGCATCTCGAAGGAGCGCGCAGTAGCATGTGCTCGAAGGCCATTGAAGCAGTCCAGTAGGAGTCCCCACCGTCGATGACAGCCACGCGTTCTGCACCTTCGATGGTCGGCAGCAATCTGCTGCCGAGGGGTGGCATGTCGACAGGGCGGCCTGCCGCGCGCATGCCTGCGCATCTTTCGTGCGAGCAGAGGGGGGGCGTTCTCGGACGTGAATCATTGTTCTTGCTTGCCCTCTTTCTCTTCGTCCAGCAGCCCTTCTAGTGCAGGGGGTCCTGGGCCTGGGTGGAGTGACAGTCCGCGTGCGTTTCGTGGCAGATTCTCTTTGGTTTCCTGGGGCGCGCGCTCGCTATTCGGGATTTCCCGGTCTCCCTCTTCCATTCTGAGAGCTAAGCGTGATTTCCCACATCTGCTTGCGTTGAGTCGCGGCGTGGTTTGTGCGCAGGGGGCCCGCGGCTCCCACTGCGACTTGAAAGCGGTTTGCACAGACGCACTGGGCCTGAATGGGTGGTCAACTTTTCTGCTTTTAAACGATATCCTGCAGGCGGCTGCGCCATTTCTGCTAGCCCGGGGCTTCGGCGAGACTTTGTTCTCGAACGGCATGCGATTATTTCCCGTGGGGGTCCGCGCGATCGCGCTGCATGAGGGGCAAGCGCGGCGCGCTCGTCATAGTGAATGCGCGCGTAGACCCCGGCCTCAGCGCTGCTCGTCAGAAATATCTCGAGGGGGATTCGCCGTTTTACTCCGTCGGCCGCCGAGGCTGTCACCGCTATCGCTGGAGGCTAGAATTTCTTTGCTCTGGGCGAGGGGGGCCTCCAGATGTCCGGGCGAACGATATGCCTTCCAGGAATCTCGGGGCCGATTCTTCCAAGGCGTTTCCCGACCTCGCCGAAATCGAGCAGCCGCTGACCACCCGCAGAGTTGCACGAGATGACCGCGTCTTTTCGGCAGGCCGTTTTGACGGGATCTCCGCGAACGCTTACTCCGCCAAGCTCCTCGATTGCACGCCCAACAGTGTCCTCTGCGGGGGGCCCTTCGACTGGGCGCGCTTGGCCTCCAAGTTCCCCCAGGGCCCCCTCCTGGCTTGCGAGGCCCCCCGAGCGCCCCTGGGTAATCCGAGGATTTCTTAGAGAACATGGCCCTTTCCATGGCGACCCCTGGGGGGGCACTTGCGGAGCTCGAAGGTCTCACCCACGCTGCTGCAAGGGCCCTGGAGTCTCGACTGGGGGTCAGAATGGAATGCCCTCGCTACCTGCCAGAGCATGGTCGCTCGCCGCAGCCCGAGCACTTGCCGCTGGGCGTGCCAGCGCAGCAAGGAGAGCTTGTTCAGCCCACCCCAAACTCAATGAGTTCATATGTAGTTCCATTTGCACGTGGACGAATTTACACGCCTTCAACTCTCACCTCGCGGTTTTGAGCAGACAGCCATTTCGCGCCCGTGCGCATGGGGTAGAGGACAGCCGCGTGCCTTAAGAAGAAGGCTCAGCTACACCGCCTTACACAGCATGCTGCCACATGGGGGGCTCACGCGGGGGGCATCAGTCCATCGGCGATCGGCGACCCCGCGGGGCTCGTGATCTCGGACCCAGATGGCGCCTGCAAGTATGTAGCTGAGCACTAGGGTGAAGCGCTTTGGGCGGGGGGGCGGGGGGGGGGGGGGGGGGCTAGCGTGCGCGAACAACTGCGCCCGTTTGCGCCTGAGTTCCCGCGCGAGGTGCATTTGGTCTTGGAGCTGGAAGTATTTGAGGCGGCAGGCGGAGGAGGCCATCCGAAGTGGAAGGCTGAGGGCCTGCTGGGCCCTCGCGCACGAACGAGCGGGACCGCTTCGGCAACGCGGCGGCCGACGGCAACGCCGGAGCGGCCGCCGCGCAGCGGGCCCCGCCCCGGGCTGTTGTGGCAGCGCGCCGGCGGGAGCTCGAGCAGCTGGAGGAAGCGCGGCGCGTGCTCGCAGCCACGCAGCTGGCTGCCGTGGCAGCGGGCCGCCCGCCGCCCGCCGCCGAACGCGCGACTGGCGCAGCGTGCGCCGCGGGGTTCGGGCCCGCGCGGGTTCCGCGCCGCCAGGCGCCGCCGCCCCTGCTGGGCGCGCGCCCTGCCGCCGGCGGCGGCGGTGCCGCTGCCGCCGCTGCGCTGCGGCGGAGACGACCCCGGCCGCCGGGGCGCCAGGGTCGCCGCCTTCTTCGCAGGGCGGCCGTGTCTGCCGCGCGCCCGCTCGCAGGGGCCGGGCAGCGCCGCCTGTCTCCAGTGCGGCGCCAGCGCAGCGACGCCGGCGGAGGCGCTTGGGGGCGCGTGCCCAGGGTGGAGGGGGCGGGTGCCGGCGCGGGGGCAAGCCCTGCCCCTATTGCACGACGGTCGCTGCGCGGGGGGCAGCGCGTCCGAATTCGCGGCGCCGGCCACGCGGCGTACTGCGCAGTTCCCCAAAGTGCCCGACTGTGTCGGGCGCCCCCCCCTGGTGCTAACTTTCAATTCTAACGATGTTGTGAAACCAACGATCCGTGAAGTGGGCGTTTTTACTTAGCAGAAATGTGGTCTCAATGCCTACATACCAATACAATGACATGCAACACAGTGGACGTTGCACAGCCCAGCAAAGAGGTTGGCTGGAGCGCCGACGCGCATAGCACGGCTCCAGAGGAGGGGGGAGGAGGAGGACACGCAGGAGGCGGAAGAGGCCGAGCGGTGTTGGAGTGAGCGGATACGGAGGCGTGGGGAGAGACGAGGGGCGACGACGAGGCGGGATGGCCGACGGCGACGCCGCTTTTTGCTCAGCGGGGCGGGCGCGGCAAGCCGCCGCTGCCGCCGGCGCCAGCCGCCAGGCGCGCCCCGCCTGGCGGCGGCAGCGCGGGAGGGGGGGGGATGAGATGAGGAGATGCGCTGAGGCGTTGAGGACCAAGGGGAGGCGGGGGGGGGGTGTTGGAGGAAGGGGAGGGGGAGGGAGTGGAATGGAGAGGGCGGTGGGCGACGAGTGGGGAGTGAGGGGATGAGAAGGAAGTAGAGTAGTAGAGAGGTGGGCGCCGGACTGGGGGCGAGGGGGGCAGGGGGTAGGAGGGAGAGGGCCGAGGACGAGAGCGCGGTCACCTCATCCCTCGTCGTCCGCACCCGCCTCTTCTCACCGCTCACCTGCAGCATCACCCCACTTGTTGAAGGCCTCATCCCACCCCCATCCTCACCCTATCCTCGTACGCCTCGCTCCTCATCATCCTCATCATCCTCATCGTGCTCATCATCATCCTCATGCGACCCCTCATCTTCAAACTCATAGTCCTACCCCTGTGTGTCCTCATCACCCCAACCACGTTGAGCAGGCGATCCGTTTGCCGTCTCGGCGCGCGGGGTCCCTGTCCTTCGCCCTCGTGGCGCGGGGCGCCATTTAAGGCGCGCGCCCCCAACGCCAGACACACAGTGTCGCAGCGGCTGAGCTGAGCATGAGCCTCGTTCAGTCCTCATCATGTCCTCATCATCTCCTCCATCTCATCATCTCATCTCCTCCCTGAGGCTCCGAGGCCGCCGCCTCCCGAGCGGCAGGCGTCGCGCCGCGCGCGGGCAGCCACTCCCCGGCTGCTGTGCGAGATCGCGCTGCACTGCGCGCCGACGCATAGTAGCTGCGGCCCTGCAGCTACGATGATGAATTCACGCTTCGGCAGATCTGCCAGATTCCGCCGCCGCTCGACACTGCT